GATGTAGATACTAAGTCAACAACACTCAAAAGTACAAAAAATTGTGGTATTTATTAAAAATTTGGGTAAAAAAAGAACAATCATTCACATCCACCCAGTTTCATTCAAATCGATTTCTACTATTTTCTACACTTTACAACTCTATCTGTGCTTGTAGAGGCACTCTATCCTTACTATCATGGACTTAGATTCTTTAAAATTGCAGTAGTAATTGTAGAGGAATGATAGTTGTGGGAATAGGTCATTTTGAGTTGAGGGTGGAATTAAGTGTGAGATACAACTTTAAATACATGACTGAATTTATCATGCTCTTTGTAAGTTGTTGGGTAAACGATAATGCCATAATCCATATTTTATTTCCACTGCAAGTTTATATTCAAATGACAAAACTGTCCCTCCTAAGTCCGAATTGCACTCGGACTTGAGAAGGATAATTTTGGCATTTTGTGCAAAAATGGCCGCGGAATTAAAAAATACGTTGTGGCATTAACAACGCCCAAGATGTTGTTATAATGTTTAAGTATGTTGTTTTAGTGTTTATATTTGTCATGTTAGTGCTAATATTATTTTGTGTAACTGAGATTAACAGTTTGTGCGGTACTAGATCTTAATCTCACAGAAGGTATTGTGTACCTAATCTTATACAAGGCATGTTGCGCTACCAACTATAGAAGTGTAGGAAATAGTTAGTGATGAATCCCACATTGAAAGTGTGTGAAGAACGGAAGAGGTTTATAGTCAATTTCACATCTATTCAAATAAATTTGGATGGTGGGAAATTTTGGAGGGAAACTTCAAAATCGCACGTATATTTGTCATGTTGACTAAACAGTTTCATGATACAACTCTTAAGTGTCTATTCATTTAAAAGGTGCCTATTTAGGAATAAGTATGTTTCCAAAAAGCATGACATTTTTTTTGTGGTGTTTGAACCTTATAAATAAGGTTGTTCAGATATTAGAAGATATATTCTTTTTACTTCTAAAAAAAAAATTTACTATTCTTCTACTTCTTATCAAAACAATAATTTTCTAAACCATTTTTTGGAGAATTTCTTCAATCTACTATGTGAAAATTCTGGTTGGCTTTGTCATTCCTGGAGGGAAATACCGAAAGCCAGGTAGTAGTAGTGGGAGCAAATTTCCTTAAGGAAAGTGAATCTTCACATTAAAACCATTTTCTGTAGTTGTAGTTGAAATTTTTCTAACAATCTTAAGGAAATTTTCCAACATGGAGGGCACCTGTTCGGATAACGTTCTGAACAAAATTTTCAAGTCTAATATGATCAAGTTGGATCATTTTGATGGCACCAATTTCACCTATTGGAAAGACAAGTTGTTGTTTCTTCTCATGGAATTGGGTATTGCATACTTGTTGGTTGATAATCTGCCAAAGATTCTTGAACCATCTGATGACGAGTCTAATGAGATCAAGGCAAGCCACAAGAAACGTGAGGAAGACGAAGTTTGCTATAGAGGCTTCATCTTAAATGCCTTGTTTGACCATCTATATCATCTGTTTCGTTCTCTTAAATCACCGCAAGAAATCTAGAAGGCTTTGGAGAACAAATACATGTCTAAAAAACAAGGTACGAACAGATTTTAAACTATGAAGTTCTTTGAGTTTCAAATGTTGGACAACAAATCTGTAATGAATCAAGTGGATGAATTACTTCTGTTAGTGTCGAGACTAAAGGATTTAAGTATTAAAGTATTGGATCAACTTCAAATGGGTGATTTAAGTATTGAAGTATCGGATCAACTTCAAATGGATGCTGTGATTGCAGAATTACCGTCCACTTGGAATGACTATAGGAAGAAACTGCTGCACACTTCTGAAAATTTCACCATAGACCAACTTACTAAGCATATCCGAATTGAAGAGGAAACTTGTATTTGTGAGAATAAGTTTGCTTTGGAATCTGGTACTAAGGTGAATACTATTGAGTCTAGCACTAACAAAAAAATCTGGGAAAGGTGGAAACAAGTCCGACAATAAGAGAAAACATGGAGACATGTCTTCTGGAAATTCTACGAACAATAAGAAAGACAAGTCATGTTTTTTTCTATGGTAAGAAAGGGCATTTTAAGAAAGAATGCATATTCTTCAAGAAATTAAAGATAGAGGCAAATGCTGGACAAAAGAAGGCAAATGTTGTTGAAAATTCTGTTCCTAATAATGCTGAAATTGTTGCTTTGATTGGCTCTCTTTCTATCAATATAATGATTGAATGCAACTTGACAAATTGCCAACCTCATAATTGGTAGTTTGACTAGGGTGTTATTGTTCATGTATGCAATGTCAACAGTCTATTCATGGATTATCAAGTTGCTGCTCCAAATTAGGTCATGCTAATGGGAAATGATAATACATCTAGTGTGCTTGGAAAGGGAACTGTTGATTTTGGAGTTCACTTCTGGCAAAATATTGGTTTTAACCAATGTTTATCATGTCCCTGACAAAAAGGAAAATCTGGTTTCCACAGGTGCACTTTGCTCTAAAGGATTAAAGGCTGTTATAGAGGCAGAAAAAGTTGTTTTATCCAAAAATAATATATTTGCTTGTCAAGGATATTCATGTAATGGTATGTTCAAACTAAATATCAATAAAGTTAATATTTATGCTTATGTGGTTGAGTTTTCCATTGATTTATGGCATGCACGTTTGTCTCATGTTAACGTTAAATCAATCAAGTACATGTCTAAACATGGATTAATTTCTCATTCGAATGATAAGTTTGGTAAATGTGAAACATGCATACAAGCAAAGATGACAAAGAAACCTTTTTCCAAAAAATGAAAGAACTTCTAAGTTACTTGAAATTGTTCATTTGGATATATGTGAATTGAATGGTCATTTAACAAGAGGCGGAAATAGATATTTCATAACTTTTATAAATGACTATTCTAGATTCACTCATGTCTATTTAATGAGAACAAAAGATCAAGCATTTGATATGTTTAAATTGTTTAAGACCTTGGTTGAAAATCAATTGGAAAGGAAAATCAAATCCTACGAAGTGATCGAGGAGGCGAATATTTTTCAAATGAATTTTCTAATTTTTGTGAAGAAAATGGTTTGATCCATCAAAATAGTTTAGCCAAAAGAAAAAATAGAACATTGGTTGATATGGTAAATGCTATGCTTATGCATGCTAGATTACCGTTTAACCTTTAGGGAGAGGCTTTATTAACCATTTGTCATGTACATAATCGAATACCTTCAAAGAAGACAAATGTTTTGCCATATGAACTTTGGAAAGGAAGAAAATCTAACTTAAATTATTTGAGGGTATGGGGTTGTATAGCCTATTAAAAGGTTCCTGATCTTAAGAGAACAAAATTAGGACCAAGAGCCTTAAAAAATGTTTTGTGGGATATGCTGAAAATTCTAAAGCATATAGATTATTAGATTTAGACTCGAATACAATAGTGGAGTCTAGAGATGTTGAATTTTTAGAAACAAGCTTTCTAAGTGGTTCAACTTCTAAACTAGAGTCTATATTACCACAAAACACGACTATGGATCATAATTCTTCTACAAATAATAATAAAAGAAAAATAGTTGAAACTTCTAGTGTACCTAGGAGGAGTAAGAGAGTGCAAAAGGAGAAGAATTTGGATCCAGATTATATTTATTCACAATATTTAGTCTTTTTAGTTGAAGGTAGTAGGAATGGGGTATTTAATAAAATACCTATACTTTTACATTTGGAAAAGAATCCTAAAACTTATAAAAAAACATTAGCTTCAAGGGATTCAACTTTTTGGAAAGAAGCAATTAATGATGAGACGGATTCTCTTGTGTCAAATGGTACATGGGTGTTATGTGAATTACCTCCTGGTTGTAAACGTATAGGATGTAAGTGGGCAATTAAAAGAAACGTAATACTGATGGTTCATTACTAACCTTCAAAGCAAGACTTGTACCAAAAGATTTTAAACAAAACAAAGGAATTGATTACTTTGACACGTATGCACCTTGTGAGAACCCTGAAAATAGATATATAAGCCAGTGCATATTTCATTTGCATTTCTTTTATTCCTTAATAATTTCTAGCATTACTTTTACTTGTTTGCAATTAAGTACGTAAAATTAGGTTATGTGAAAAATAATATAATTTTTCCTAAGTTATGAAATTTCTTGGTTTTATTTGGCTAAATTAATATCTTTAGGGTTGGAATAATTTTTCGCCTTAAAATAAAATGTTAGTTTACTTAATCCCTTTATGCTAAAATTATGATAATTGAATTGTTAAATTTACTATCTTAAAATAAATTATTTAAATCCTTATGATTAATTCCAATTAGTTGCTAATGTTAAATGTTAATAAGAATTTTCGCGTTAAGATGAAAACCAATGAATTTTAGATAAATATGATTCTAATATACTAAACATACTTAAGGCGTGAAAATTCGATAAATATATCCTTATCTTTCTTTGTTTTTCAAGTAAGTGCGTAAAAATAATTTTTATATGCAAATTGGCACCCTTGGATTAAATTATTATTTCATTTGACTTTATATTACTAAATCGATAAATTTCGAGTTAGACTAACTCTATTACTTGAGAAATAATAATTGGAAATTCTAATAACAAATTTAATCGCTAATTAATATAAGAATTACTAGGAACCTTAATATTCAAGTTTAATCGATAATTATTCGATAAAAAAAAATGGTTTAGGTATATTAGAGTATAACTACGCGTTTGAATCGCGCTTGGGGATAATTTTTAGAATTAAGTCGGATTTGCGAAATTAAGTTGAGATTAAGGAGCGAAGTGAAAAGACTAAAATACCCTTACCTTACCTTTCCATGCAAACCAAACGAGACGTCTGACTGCAAATCAAATCACGCAGTTATTACCAAAATTGTACGCAAGCCGCTCTTACACGCAAACCATTCTCCTAAACAGCGGCACTTGTATCATTCTCTTTGTTTCACGTCTCAAACCACAATACTTCCTAATACCACTCAATCTATTTCACATCTTAAAACCACGGCCCCACAATATTTCTTCATACTACCAATCCAATTCATATCACAAAACCACGATACCATTTGCTCTATTTCACAACCACAACACACAATACCAATTCCTTCTCTGCACAAAACCAAACCGCAAACCATTTCTCCTTTCTAAATACCGAGACACCACCTTCATCAAATTCCATTTCTTTTCTGCACAACTCCACCGAAACCACTGCACTCCATCTTCATCGTGAAAAGGTAGCATCCGAGAGCAAGAGAGGGAGAGCTGCTCCTCGTGAGTATCGACTGAAGAAAAGCCGCGAGCTGCATTTTCATTTTGTCTCTACTCTGTCCGTAGGCTGAGGGAAGAGACCAGGGAAACAACACTACCTTTGTCAACCTCAGACCAACATCCACCAGCTGCAACCACCTTCATCACAACACCATTTCCAACTGCAAATTGAACGCAGGACCAAACAGGGTGCGTGAGAGCCGAGAGGAAAGAAGAAAATTCCAGATTTCTGTGCGTAGGTTTGGAGTGTATCTGAGGTAAATTTCTGGGCTAATTAAGTTAAGTATTAGCAGAGGAAGTCTTATCAGAGGTTGCATGTAATTTTAGGCAGCCGGTTAATGAAATCAAAGTCTTAGAAAAATTCTGCTTTGGAAGTAAAAGTTCTGCCGAGAATTTGACTTGATATTTCCGCTTTGATCTGGTTTATTTGGTGTTAATTTTGTGGTTTAAGCTTATAATCATAATTAGATAGCTAATAACAAGTAATTAGGCTCTACATGGGGCCGATTAGTTTGTTAAAACAGGGAAATAAAATTAAGAGTGCAATCTGCCTCAGGGCATGATCAACCGGGTCAAGCAGGGAAATTTTGGAAAATTTTGATGTTAACGGTTGTTGTTTGAGCTTGATTTCTGAACTGGAAACGTTTACTTGCTAGCCAGATAAGTATATAAGGAAATTGAGAGGTTAAAGGCATGTTTAAAACCATAAAATGAAATGAAAACAGAAAGCCTTCATGCATGATTCAACCGTAACTAGTTGGATGAGATTTCTGATTTTTTTTTTTAAATTGTTATATGAACCTGGTTTTGAAGTGGAAATTTTTAACAACTAGCTAGGTGTTTATATGCTGAAATTGAGTACCTAGCACCATGTTTAAACCAAGGGAAAATTTGATTTAAAGCGTATTGGTTGCTGGGAAAATGTTGGAGACCGCTAGCCAGGTTGAACCAGCAATTTCAGTTTGTCTTTGGAGTTTAATTGGTTTTTTTTTGGTAATTTATTTTATTTTCCTGGAAGTATGATGGTTTGGAAGTACAAAAGGGTTGTAAGTTTTAAATTGTATAATTTGTTTAGCAAGGAAATATTTGATATCTTGAATGATTTAACCAAACATGTGGGTATACAAATGCTGGAAACTTTCTTGTGGCTGCCGAAAGTTGAGTTGAAATATCAACTTGGATTTTTGGAAATTTTCTTGGACATATAATGGATGGCAATGCCTGGAAAATGTTGTTTTGAAGTTCTACAAGAAGTATAAAGATGGTTTGAATAAAAACATTTTGGTGTTAAAAGAGAAAAAGGAATTTTCACAAGTGAAAAATTGAAATTTCAGATTTTTGGATACCCTGACCAGTCTCAATAAAATGTTGATATCTTGGTGTAGGAAAATCCGTTTAAGGCGCCATCAGTGGCGTTTGAAACTAGAATCATAGGCCTTTGTCCTGTAGAAATTTCGTATTTTTCCTCCATGTGTACTACTGTCTGTGAATTTTTAAAGTGGACTGTTTTGCATGAATGTCCTGTTTCTTTGAGAAATAGAAATTGGGTTTTGGGTTGAGATTTTAGCTTACCTGTAGTTTAAATTCTTGATTAAATTGTGGTTGGAAGTGGTTGATATTGTCAAGAGCTAATGATTGATGAAGCCCTTGGCCATTTGAATGATTTTACAAGTATTACAGGGTGACGAAAGTAAATTGTTGGAATGTCTTGGAGGCTTTACTTTTATTTTATTTGCTTATGATGGGCTTGCTGAAACCAAGTGCTAATGATTGATGAAGCCTTGGTTGATCATTTTATTTTATTCAGAAATGCACTTGTTGAAATCTAGGGCTAATGATTGACGAAACCCTAGTAATTTGTTATATAATTTTCGCCATATTTTGATCCATATTATGATTTCATGATGGAATCGGAACTGTGGAAGTTGTATCGATCTTGCGAACTCGAGTGTCTGTGGTCAAAGTAATCAAAAATATTTTCCAGCTAGTAGTATAATATAAAAACTCAATATCTAGTGTTTTGCCTAAAACTTTCAACCCGATAATTTCCTTTAGCTCAAGCTAGTCTTGATAGCTATAGTATTTTAATGCTATAACTTTTGAAAATTCTAGGTCTTATTTCAATTTCTTTTCTTTCCTTAAGCTTTACAATTGGATAGCTAACTTTAGGAAAAATTTCAAAATACGAGTTTTACAAATTTTAGCGAAAAGCCTGGGAGACTTGCTCGGCAAGAAAACTCTATTTTTTTAGGAAAAATAGTTTTTGGAAATAAATCTTGCAAAAAGCCGTATCTTTAGAGAAATGTTCAAAGTAACTTTCTAGCTTTGATATTCAGAGGTTTATTGACTTATTTCAATAAAATAATACTAGTTACTTTATTTTAGAAAAGTACCTCAAGGAAAACCATAAGAAATATCTTTTCTACTGTTGTCAAGTTTTAATCTAAGGAACCCTTGATCTTTCAAAGGGAAAGTGAACTAGTAGTATATTAAATATACCTCAATGGCTATAAGCTTAAAAAACTGAGTAGAAACTTATAGTTTCAAATTTTTGGTTTTAGGATATTTCGAGGACGCAGAATTCGATTCCCAACTTGATATCTGAACTCCATTCTTGGTGAGTGTCCCTGCTTGATCTATGCTTACCTGATTAATGCGCTTTCTCGGCTTGATATGTGATATTTGGAAATATGGTTTTGATCCATCGAAGTGAGCTATGTGTACTTTACCACATTAGCCGTTCGAGTGGTGACTTGCTTGAAATGTTTTCGTGAATATCCTGCTTGTACTAATATCATGCTGGACGCAACGTCGCTGGGTGAATCCCTCGACCAGTCTATACTAATCTCTCGCTGGACGCAACGTCGTTGAGGAAATCTCTCGACCAGTCCCAGGTATACTCGAGTATTACCGCTCTCATTTATTTTGTCGTGCGGGCCCGGAGCTGGGGTATGTTCGGTGGCCGGAGCTAAGAAAAATAAGAGTATCTACATGGACTTTAAGTTGTGAGAGTTGACGGAGGGTCGACTACGGTAATTTCTGATCAAGCAAGGAGAATGGCTCCTGAGAGCCCCTGTATCCTACATTGTGCTGTTATACGCTTTCCTAACTGTTTAAAATTATTAAGTCATTATCCGTTGTTTGATTTAAGTGATTGCATGATTTGGGGCACCACTGAGCTTTAGCTCACCCCACGTTTATTGTTTTCCTTAACAGGTCCTGGAAACTGAAAGCTGGATGCTTACTTATGTTTTCCTTATGTATTGTATTTGACTACTATAACTTATTCTGTGGGCTGTAATGTGTTTTTTTTTTTGGGATAATGTACTTTTCTTTTTGGATTGCTACTTGAAGCTGGAAAATGTGTAAACCCTAATTCGATTACTTGGTTTGTAAGTTTGTATTTGGGATTTATGTATGTATCTATCCGGATTGGTGCGACTTTATACTTTGGTACGTAGCACGTAGGACGTTTAAGAGCACCGACTGGTTATTTTATCACTGCTATCTCTGAAGTTAATGTGGCTTTAAGGATGATCCTATTCGGGAAAAAAATTGTTTTGTAATATATTAGGTTATTCTTCGAAAGGATTCGGGTTAGATTGCTCGCATGAGTCCTGGCGAGAGTTGGGCAGACGGCCCGCCAACCCTTTGGTTCGCCTCAGGGGGAAGTGGGGTCGCCACAGGTGGTATCAGAGCTCTTATCGAGCTCAAACCGGGAAAAGATTCTCGGACTGTGGGGATTGGCTTGTTAAGTGTGGAACAAAAGTCTATAGTTGGGGATATTAGATATGTATGTTGGGTAGGAATCTCAAATTTAGGTGATTCATGCTTGGGACTGGCCAGCTTGAGTTGTGAATCATCTTATTTTCGGATTCTTGTACCCGAATACGAAATATTACATTTAATGGAGTATTTGCAATTGAAACGAATCCAGTATACTGCATTATGACGTGACTAGAAAGCACGATTAATTTTGGAAAAATGAAATGAAAGGACCAAGTCTAGCTTTTGAAAGTTAATGGTGAAGAGCCAATAGTGAGACCTTGAAGATTAGTGCCAATTCTGTTTTGAGGTGAATTTGCCATGTGAGGTGAGTTCTTGATGACATTGTGGCTTCTTAAGTTTTATTGGAGGATTATTTGGGGCTAATGTCCAACAGGATAAGGATAACTAGTTGTTAGGTTATTAGAAAAGCCAATGTATGAAATGTTTGAGATCATTTAGAATACTTAAGAGCTATTGATGTACTTAAGTAATGATCATGTTATTAGATTTAATATTAGACGTGGTAGGTCTACAATCCACTAAGGTTAAGTTGAATCTAAACTAAGGGTTGAGCTATTAGCTATGTGGTTACAATAATTTGTGTAATGTTGTATTGTCTTCTTTCATGCTTATAAAGATTGAAATTTGAGTTATGTATGAAAATATTGAATGTATTCGTGAATTGTTTGGCTCTTGAAGTTGTATGAAATTGGTATGCAACGTGACTCATATTGTGTGTATGAAATTTGATGATTACGCGTCTACTTTGTTATAATGTTGAAAAAAAATTTTTTTTTTTTGAGAATTTAGAAATATCTTAGAATAGTGTAATATATATATATGAATCGAATAAAAATAAGATAGGAATACTGTGATTTGAGTGATTTGAATACATGATATAGTTGAATAAGTTACATGACTAATTAACTCTCCTTTTTCTCAATTTTCATATTGATTTTACTTACAGAAAGGATAATAATATAATAAATGTTTCTATTCTCGCCTAAATGCCTTATTTTCCAATAATAGGCATAACTAGGCTATGGATCTCCAAGTTAGAGGTAGAGGACGTGGGAGACCAGCTAGGCAACACCCCGAGGGTAGTGGTGATAGGGAACCTGAGGTCAACCCAGACCATGATCAGGGAAACGTGGCCGGAGATTCCGTGGCCACCGCAATCAATAGAATAACTGATGTGTTAGAGCGCATGACTGAGCACCAAGCTCATGGAGCGGTGCATCAGCAAGGAGGCCCAATCGATTCTGAGGATTGGGCATTAGAGAGATTCCTGAAGTTTGGACCTCCTAAGTTCTACGGAGGGCCAGAACCTGAGGTAGCCGAAGGTTGGTGGGAGAGGATCTCTGATATTTTTGCCGCCCTAAATTATCCGGAAGAGAGGCAAGTGACTTTCGCAGCATTCCAGTTTGAGGGAGCTGCTCGTTCCTGGTGGAACCTAGTTAGGGTTAATTGGGATAGGAACCATACTCCCAGGACTTGGGCGAACTTCACTAGGGAATTCAACGCCAAATTTCTTCCTCCTCTCATCCAAGAGAAAAGAGAGGATGATTTCATCAAGTGTAGGCAGGGGGCGATGAGTGTCGCCGAATATGAGATTCAATTCACGAAATTGTCCCGTTATGCTCCGGAATTGGTAGCTACGGAACAAAGGCGTGTAAGGAGGTTTGTGCAGGGACTGAACGTGGAAATTCAGGAGGGATTAGCTGCTGTTCGAATAGACACATTTGCTGAAGCTGTAGAGAGAGCTCAAAGGGTTGAAGTTGCCAGAGCTCAAGTAAAAACTTTCCAGGCCAAGAAAAGATTTGCACCTAGCAGCAGTCGGGAGCCGACTTATAATGCTCCACCGGCCAAAGTGGGTCGAGGAACGGGTGGAGTAAGTAATCATGGAGCACCACGAGGCGCTCTAGCAAGAGGAGCTGGTGCTAGAGGTGCCGGAGAAAGAGATAATGGAGCTAATGGAGGGCCAAGTGGAAGGAACCAACTTAGGAACGCCCCACAAGGAGGCCGTGTGACCACCTCTCAAGTAACTTGTGGGTATTGCAGGAAGGCTGGTCATATTGAGAACGAATGCTGGAAAAAGGGAGGAAAGTGCTTGAGGTGTGGTAGCAGCGAGCACCAAATTGCCGGTTGCCCAAAAATGCAAGAAGGTGAGAATTTTGAGGACAAAATTCATTTTAAGGAGGAGAGGATGTGAGAACCCTGAAAATAGATATATAAGCCAGTGCATATTTCATTTGCATTTCTTTTATTCCTTAATAATTTCTAGCATTACTTTTACTTGTTTGCGATTAAGTACGTAAAATTAGATTATGTGAAAAATAATATAATTTTTCCTAAGTTATGAAATTTCTTGGTTTTATTTGGCTAAATTAATATCTTTAGGGTTGGAATAATTTTTCGCCTTAAAATAAAATGTTAGTTTACTTAATCCCTTTATGCTAAAATTATGATAATTGAATTGTTAAATTTACTATCTTAAAATAAATTATTTAAATCCTTATGATTAATTCCAATTAGTTGCTAATGTTAAATGTTAATAAGAATTTTCGCGTTAAGATGAAAACCAATGAATTTTAGATAAATATGATTCTAATATACTAAACATACTTAAGGCGTGAAAATTCGATAAATATATCCTTATCTTTCTTTGTTTTTCAAGTAAGTGCGTAAAAATAATTTTTATATGCAAATTGGCACCCTTGGATTAAATTATTATTTCATTTGACTTTATATTACTAAATCGATAAATTTCGAGTTAGACTAACTCTATTACTTGAGAAATAATAATTGGAAATTCTAATAACAAATTTAATCGCTAATTAATATAAGAATTACTAGGAACCTTAATATTCAAGTTTAATCGATAATTATTCGATAAAAAAAAAATGGTTTAGGTATATTAGAGTATAACTACGCGTTTGAATCGCGCTTGGGGATAATTTTTAGAATTAAGTCGGATTTGCGAAATTAAGTTGAGATTAAGGAGCGAAGTGAAAAGACTAAAATACCCTTACCTTACCTTTCCATGCAAACCAAACGAGACGTCTGACTGCAAATCAAATCACGCAGTTATTACCAAAATTGTACGCAAGCCGCTCTTACACGCAAACCATTCTCCTAAACAGCGGCACTTGTATCATTCTCTTTGTTTCACGTCTCAAACCACAATACTTCCTAATACCACTCAATCTATTTCACATCTTAAAACCACGGCCCCACAATATTTCTTCATACTACCAATCCAATTCATATCACAAAACCACGATACCATTTGCTCTATTTCACAACCACAACACACAATACCAATTCCTTCTCTGCACAAAACCAAACCGCAAACCATTTCTCCTTTCTAAATACCGAGACACCACCTTCATCAAATTCCATTTCTTTTCTGCACAACTCCACCGAAACCACTGCACTCCATCTTCATCGTGAAAAGGTAGCATCCGAGAGCAAGAGAGGGAGAGCTGCTCCTCGTGAGTATCGACTGAAGAAAAGCCGCGAGCTGCATTTTCATTTTGTCTCTACTCTGTCCGTAGGCTGAGGGAAGAGACCAGGGAAACAACACTACCTTTGTCAACCTCAGACCAACATCCACCAGCTGCAACCACCTTCATCACAACACCATTTCCAACTGCAAATTGAACGCAGGACCAAACAGGGTGCGTGAGAGCCGAGAGGAAAGAAGAAAATTCCAGATTTCTGTGCGTAGGTTTGGAGTGTATCTGAGGTAAATTTCTGGGCTAATTAAGTTAAGTATTAGCAGAGGAAGTCTTATCAGAGGTTGCATGTAATTTTAGGCAGCCGGTTAATGAAATCAAAGTCTTAGAAAAATTCTGCTTTGGAAGTAAAAGTTCTGCCGAGAATTTGACTTGATATTTCCGCTTTGATCTGGTTTATTTGGTGTTAATTTTGTGGTTTAAGCTTATAATCATAATTAGATAGCTAATAACAAGTAATTAGGCTCTACATGGGGCCGATTAGTTTGTTAAAACAGGGAAATAAAATTAAGAGTGCAATCTGCCTCAGGGCATGATCAACCGGGTCAAGCAGGGAAATTTTGGAAAATTTTGATGTTAACGGTTGTTGTTTGAGCTTGATTTCTGAACTGGAAACGTTTACTTGCTAGCCAGATAAGTATATAAGGAAATTGAGAGGTTAAAGGCATGTTTAAAACCATAAAATGAAATGAAAACAGAAAGCCTTCATGCATGATTCAACCGTAACTAGTTGGATGAGATTTCTGATTTTTTTTTTTAAATTGTTATATGAACCTGGTTTTGAAGTGGAAATTTTTAACAACTAGCTAGGTGTTTATATGCTGAAATTGAGTACCTAGCACCATGTTTAAACCAAGGGAAAATTTGATTTAAAGCGTATTGGTTGCTGGGAAAATGTTGGAGACCGCTAGCCAGGTTGAACCAGCAATTTCAGTTTGTCTTTGGAGTTTAATTGGTTTTTTTTTGGTAATTTATTTTATTTTCCTGGAAGTATGATGGTTTGGAAGTACAAAAGGGTTGTAAGTTTTAAATTGTATAATTTGTTTAGCAAGGAAATATTTGATATCTTGAATGATTTAACCAAACATGTGGGTATACAAATGCTGGAAACTTTCTTGTGGCTGCCGAAAGTTGAGTTGAAATATCAACTTGGATTTTTGGAAATTTTCTTGGACATATAATGGATGGCAATGCCTGGAAAATGTTGTTTTGAAGTTCTACAAGAAGTATAAAGATGGTTTGAATAAAAACATTTTGGTGTTAAAAGAGAAAAAGGAATTTTCACAAGTGAAA